GTATTTCCAGATATTTCTGTATTGCATGTGACCATATAACTTCAAGGTCTGCTAATACTGCAGTGAGGGAGCCACCAGGTCCCGGGTGGAGATTCAGCTGCCCTCTTCTAATGGGCCAGTGTATATTATAAGAATCCAATGGATTAACATACAGTGCCTGAAAAGAAGAGATGATGTTCTGTGCATTGCTTTCCCCCCGAAATTAGCAACAAATATTAGAATGAAAAATATTTCAGAAGCAGATATAATAAGACATACAGCAGCACTCAGATCAATGTGACAGAAATACAGTGGATTTCATTGTAACAGGGCTTGATTGAAACTATTGTAAAGACACTAAATACGTTGTTTAAATTGTTTGAATGTTCTTACCCGTGGACATCTACTGAACAAAACAGTATATTTTTCCACTATCTCAAATGAGGAATTAAAATAATTCTAGCTCTTTGAAGTTCATGAATACCTAGTTACTCAGCAGCAATTCCATGTACTGATATTTTTATCAGTTTCTTGCCTTTTCTCTGATTTATGCCATATGGACAAAGTTCTCACCTAGTCCCTGCAGAAACACTGATTTCTAGCAGCAAAAGAACCAAGACACTTATTAGGCAGATGGGGGAAACCCTCAGGTCTTGCTAAATGATAACAAACATTCAATTACTTCACAGTAAAGTTTCTCACATATTGCTTGGCTAACTTCATGTGTCTTGCAGTACATACTAACTTGTATCAAATGGCTGCTGCTGACATGGTTGCATTTAAACATACGAAGCCTCATTCAGCAGGAAAAGAAATCTTACCTCTTCTCCTACCAAAAATTCAGGATGATTTGATGTGTTTGTCCACTTGGCCCCAGAGCTGTGGTCCAAAATAGCTGGTCGCATCTGTCTGTTGTATGACCTGGCCTGAAATGTAATCAAAACAAACCCTGTCGATAAATATTTCACCAGTCACTTTTTTGCAAGGAAGAAAAAGGAAACACCCCTTTGGCCCCACCCCTCGAGGAAACGTTTTAAATCTTAATTTTCTCAGATCTTCAGAGACAGGTTGCGCAATAGCATTATCCATAATCGCTGTAAAAAGGACATCTATACTTGTCCACTAAAACACACCAAAGGACTATATGAATGAACAATTCAATAAAATCTTAAGAATGAGTTACCTGATCAGGTGACACTGGAATACGCCTCGCTCCATTCGACATCTTTTTGGACCATATTGCTTGGTCCACCATTTTAAGGCCATTTTGTCTCTGCTCAGTGCTTTCAGGTTTCTAAGGAAAACCCCAAATATACAATGTAAATACTTACTTTCTAACTACATGTCTGCACACTGGTAATACTGAAGCTATGGTTAAAGAATGAAATCATTACTGTGGTTGATAGACTGTAGAAAGGACAGAGATTTGTACAATGCAAAATAAATGTATGCTTATTTTTAAAGAAATTATTTTTTATATTAGAGTTCCTAACACTTATTTATTGAAATCAACTTGAATCTTTTAAGTGACTGGAGTGGCTGCTGGACTTTATCTCTGAAATGATGCAGTCAGGCCATTTTTTAACTACAGAAATATCAAGTACAAGCAAAAATGTTTAAATAGATCTCAATTATTTAAATCTGACATTTAATATTAGAGACAGAAATTTGATTAATTTTTATTTTTTTACAGATGCAGATTAAGACGACTAGATCTATTTTTTAAGCAGGCTGGAATAAAACTACTTGCTGTGTTATCTAAATCACAAATCAACTTGCAACCAATACATTCACAAATGGAGAAGTCCAATTTTAATCCTACAGCTGGCATTCTATCAAAAGAAATACCCAGTGTGGTACCAGACCACAGCACAGGGAAATCAACATGCATAAACCCTCAATCTATCAATTTATTAGATTTAGTTCATTACAAACAAATCAAATAGAACCCAATCATAGACTGGTGCAAACCTATTGACAGCGCATTAAAAGCATGAAAAAAAAGTGGAACTTCAGATGTATTCTCCTCTGGAAAAACACAGAGTATGAGGGGAAGATATGCACTATACAAAGATGCAATAGAGGTGGGGAACGAACACACGGATTTTAGCGGTCCGGGAGGCCGCGCCGCGGTGTTTCCCGGCTTACATTGAGGCCGTCCCTGAGGAGCCAGCTGTCCCTGTAGGCCGCCTGGCCCTGCTGCTTGTGCCGCCGGGCGATGACGTGCGGGATGCCCGCGGGCAAAGTGTCCGTGGCTCTCCCGAGCCGCAGGGTGGTCGAGCCGGGGTGGATCACCACGATGAAGTTGCTCTGTATTTGCTGAAAGCAGCACAACGCGCACGGAGTGAGATAGAATTCCCGCGCCGTCCTGGAACTCTCCCTACGCCCACGTGGAGCCCACCTGCGCTTCCACGCCCCCCCCCCCCAGGCCCTTTAAAAAGGCTCCCCCGGCCCGGGCGGGGCCCGCCCCACGGGAGGGAGAAGTGCCGCTCTGAGCGGCCCGCGGCCCGGGCCTCACCTTCCTTGCAGGGACGTCGGGCACGGCGGGCGGGACGATGGGCCGCCTTTAACGCGCCGCTGGCTCCCGCTCCCGGTTCGCGCTGCCGTTGTCCCTTCCGGTTTCCGCCTTCGCCCTCTCCGCCTGGTCATGCTCCGGCCGGGCGGAAGTTCGGCCGTCTTCCGGGGGCCGAGCGGAAGCTGCGCCTGGCGGAGCCGAGGGGAAGCCGCGTCTTCCGGGGCCGAGCGGAAGTTACGTCTGCCGGGGCCGAGCGGCGCCGGGCGGGACCCGCGCCCGGCACCGCCCCTGGGCAGGTACCGGGCGCAGTGGCTCGGCTTGACGGGAGCAACCGCTGCCCCTCGGGAAGTACCGGGCCCTCGGGCGCGAGGGCGGTCGGCAGCCTCTTGGCGCAGCCCCGGGCCTGGCGGTCGGCTTGCAGCGGGTTGCGGGGACAGGCGGCTGTCCCGGCCCCCGCGGCAGGGGCCGAGCAGGACACGCATACGAGGGAGCCTGGGGAGCAGCAGCCGATGCTGAGCTGGGCGGTTACTGCTGGTGGGACTGCAGGAGGGGTGACAGAGCCCCCCAACAGCTTAAAATACGCCTCTGTGTTAAGAGCGCAGCACAGCTGATGTACGCGGTGCACCTGTGAAGAGCTAACGATGGCCAGTCTACCTGTACACACCTGGTGCGTGGGCAGCAGGTTCCTCTGTGAGCTCTGCACGTGGGACGTTTGCGTGGAGCTGAGGAAGAGCTGGGTTTTAAGGCTGAAGGATGCTGTTAACACAGCAAGTCGAAAGGTGGTAACTCTGTGTTGGGTACGCGTAGCAGGAGTGGGAGGCGCTGGAGGGGCCTGTTAACCGAGGGGCGCTGTCGGGTGTTTTAATTTCCTGCTCTAGAGGTGGGCAATACACTCAGTGCAGGCGGC